CTTTCCCTTGGTTAATTCTTTTGTGTCAGTGCTAACCCTGTCTGTTTCACGTCTATCTGCTCTGGCAGCTTAGAACTCACACCAGAGGCAGGTGTGTGCATGCACAATGTCTCAAGAGGAGAACGAAGGAGAAGAGACTGCAGTAGGGCCATCTCCCATGGGGGCAACTTCTTTTTTTGGAGAGATTTTTTTGCTATAGGGTGCATGCGTTTGCCAAAGAGACAGAGAGACAGAAAACGAGAAATCACTCCCCAGGGGGGATGACCATGCCGCAATCCCTTCTCCTCCATTCTCCTCTCGGGATCTTGGGCACACACGCACACGCGCCTGGCATGAGTTTAAGCAGCGGGGTCTGGGACTCAAACCACGGCTGACTATGTGGGAGTCCAGCGACATAGCTGTTACGCTAACTGCTGGTCCCCGCATGGGAGTGACTTCTCACATTCCCTCTCACTGTCTCTGTCTCTCTGGTGAGCCCTGTGGCAAAACCCCTAAAAAAACAAAGGAATCATATTTCCAGGGTCTTGGCGAGTGGGGTCCCCTGGATAGCTGCCCCTCTTTGTGGCATCAGAGCTGATAGCTCACCAGTTTGAGTCCTGGTGCGTCGGGCGAGGCAGGGGCACCTGTGAGAGTGTGATGTGGAGGGAGCTCCTAGAATTGATATAGTAGAAAGGGTGGTGGCTAGCTTCAGGATGTGTCAGGCCCTGGTTTTTGTTTGTTTTTTAGAGTTTTTTTTGCTATAGGGTTTGTGTGCTTGCTGGGGAGACAGAGAAAGTGAGAAACCACCCTCCCAGAGGGGGTGGCCATACTGCAATCCCTTCTCCATTCTCCTTTCGGGATTTTGGGTACACACGTGGGCACCCATTGTGAGTTTCAAGCCACCAAGTCGAGGACTCAAACTGGTCAGTCATGTGGGCATCTGGCACCTTAACCACTATGCCACCTGCTGGCCCCTAGGCACTGTTTTAAAGTGGCAGTTAATCCTCATGACGCCATGAGGTAGTTTCTGTTATTAGAAACCGAAAATTTACAGATGAGGAAGCGCAGGCTCAGAGCTTCCCGCAGTTCAGATAACTAAGTAAAACGCGTTTCTCTCTGCCAGTCACTTGCAGAAATTGTGCTGCACACATGCAGCGTTGACACCTGCCAGGCTTCACGGGGACATCTCGGTGCTGGATCCTAAGACGGGGCACTCAGGCCCCGGGATGGCGGATGCGCTGTGTCAATAGAAGAGCGTTCCAAGCTAGAACGGGCAGAGGGATGGTCAGCCTGCCCTTCCGCCTAGGAGATAGTTACCCCACAGTCTCCTAGGGTAGTTTTCTAGGGGGGCCTTTCCCTTTAGATCAAGGTCTGGATCCCAGATTGATTGTTTTTCTTCTGCTAATTCAGGGTTTGACCTTTTTATTCTGATATTTTTTTTTTGTTTGTCTCCCATCGTTTTGAATAGCTGAGAAATCAGTTGGCCGCTAAGACCGTCTTTGAAGGCTTCACCGAGGGCACGCTCACATTCCAGCCCACCTATAAGTACGACACTGGCTCGGACGACTGGGACACCAGGTAGGTCAGAGGCTGCCGCAGGGCCTGAGCACCTGGAAGCCCAGAAATTCTGGGAAGCGCTTGCTTTGGGAGACCTAAAGAAGATTATAGGTTTCCTGTGCCTTATCCCTGTTTCACGCTCTGGTCAAACATTTTCTCTCAATATCTGCTCATTATGTACCCTGCCTTCCACTTCCACTTTATTTATATTTTGACTGCCTCAGGCTTTGTTCCCTACTAACTTTTTTTTTTTAAAGAATCATTTTTTTATTTATCTCTATTTATTTGTTTGTTTATTTTAATTTGACCAGAGAGAGACAGAGCGAGAGAGAGAGAGAGAGAGAGAAAGCGTAAAAGCAAGCTGCCAGGTACAGGACTCAAACAATTGTTGGCCGTGTGGGAGTCCAGCGCCCTTAACCACCATGCCACCTGCTGGCTCCCAGTTTTTTTTTTTTTTTTTTTTTTTTTTTTTTTTTTGAGAGGTTTTAGCTATAGGATGCACACGCTCACCAGAAAGACAGAGAGAAACAGAAAGACAGGAAGTGAGAAATCACCCCCCAAGCAGGGATGGCCATGCCGCAATCCCTTCTCTTTCATTCTCCTCTTGGGATCTTGGGCACACGCCTGGCGTGAGTTTAAGGCACCGGGTCCGGGACTTGAACCATGGTTGACTACATGGGTGTCCAGTGACATAGCCATTACACCAACTGCTGGTCCCCCAACTAACTCTTGGTACTGATTTACTTTTCAGCTGTGCTTAGAGCGATTAGATGATCCCAGCTAACCTAGCTTGTTACATAGTAGTACATGCTTTTTTATTGATATTTACTATGTGCCATGTGCTAGGAATACACTTGTATTATTTCATTTAATCCGCTCAATAGCCTGTTGACATAGGTATGATTTATTATCCTCATTTTATTAAATTGGAGAGCGAGGCGTAGAAAAATGAGCGAGCCTCCCAAGCAGGTGGAGACAGGATTTGAACCCAGGCAGTAGAAATTCAGAGGGGGTATGCACTTGCCAGAGAGATAGAAGAGAGGAGGGAGGGGGCGAGAACCCCACCAATAGGATGTGGTCACATCACAATCCTTTTTCCACCATTTCTTGTCAGGAGTTGGGGCATGTGTGCACATGCATCTATCATGTGCCTCAAGCCACCAGGGGCTTGATTTGAACCATACTTGTTCATATGGGATCTGGCTCCTTCTACACAGTGCTTAGCTGGTGTGCTATGGGGCTGGTTCAAGAGGGCCTCTGTGCTCTTAACCTCTGTCTTTTTTTTTTTTTTAAGAATTATTTAATTTTACTTATTATTTTAAAGAGTTATTTGATTTTATTTATTCATTCATTTATTTTAATTTGACCAGAGAGAGAGAGAAAAAAAAAGAGAGAGAGGGAAAGTGAGAAAGCAAGCCACCAGGTCCGGGACTCAAACTGTGGTCAGCCATGTGGGAGTGTCCAGTGCTTTACTAACATGCTGTCTGCTGGTTCCCAATCATTATTATTATTTTTAATTTGACCAAAGGAGACAGAGAGAGAGAGAGAGGGAAAGTGAGAAAGCAGGCTGTCAGGTCCAGGACTCGAACCACGATCAGCCATGTGGGAGTCTAGCGCCTCCAACCACCATGCTACCTGCCGGCCCCTTAACCTCATCTTTTAAGGACCATTGAGTAGTTATTCTCAGAATGCCTTTTTTACTCACTCCTCACCCTCACAGGTGGGGAAAGAGCTGAGAATCAGCCCCAACTGTCTTGGTTTTAGCTTCATAGGTGTTGGGACGATACCCACAGGATACGTATTATCCATTGGGAGCTGAGTCACCCCTGCCATCCCAGTTCACTGGGCCTAATGAACACAAAGGCCGCCGTTGTCCACCTGAGCCAGGGCACTGGGCAGGCGGTGGGTACTGCTGTTTCCTGAGGGCTCTCAGTATGGACTTTGCATTTCAGCGAGAAGTGTCGAGCTCCTGCCTGGTGCGACCGAGTCCTCTGGAAAGGGAAGGACGTCACTCAGCTGAGTTACCAGAGCCACATGGCCCTGAAGACCAGTGACCACAAGCCTGTCAGCTCAGTGTTTGACATAGGGGTAGGTGGGCAGCCGGACCCTGCCGTGACCATGTAGGGAGCTGGTTCTCATGACCGAGGGCCCTGTCTGTCTTTCTCGTCTCCTTTCTTCCCCGTAAGTGTGCAAAAGCTCCTTTTAAAATTTCTTTAAATTTAAATGTGGGCCAGTGGGTGGCGTGGTGGTTAAGGCACTGGAACTTACATGGCTGACACTGTGGTTTGAGTCCCAAACCCGATGGCCTAAAAAACACTCTGTGCACATGTGCATTCGCGCCCAAAATCCTGTGAGGAGAATGGAGAAAAAGGGACTGTGGAGTGGCCATCCTCCCGGGGGTGATTTCTCACTTTCCCTCTCTCTCTCTCTTTCTGGCAAACGCACGTGCCCTATGACAAAAACAATCTATTGTACTTAATAATTGTTGTCATATGCTTCTACTACTGGGTGTTGGGAAAAGCCGTGGTGCATTTTTGCATAGAAAAATGTGTCCCGACTTTCCTGACAACCTAATATATATTTCCTCATACAGGGACGTTCCTTTCTGCTGTTTGAACTGTATCTTTCCAGACTTTTCTCTATGGACTTGTAAACAAATGTGTCAGTCTTATATATGCAACGTAGAGGATATTTTTCTTTTTTGTCAAAGAGGTCATAGTACACATACTGTTCTGGAAACATCTTCCTACCCCCACCGGATATATCTTAGGAGATCTTTCTTTCTTTTTTTTTTTTTTAAAGAATTATTTTTATTTAACTTTATTTATTATTATTATTTTCCAGTTCGATCAGAGAGAGACAGAGAGGGAAAGCGAGAAAGCAACCCGCCAGGTCCAGGACTTGAACCCAGGTGGGCCATGTGGGAGTCCAGTGCCCCCAACCACCACACCACCTACTGGCCCCATATCTTAGGAGATCTTTCCATGTCAATAAAGGTACAGCTTTGTCCCCATAGCTTTTTTTTCTTTAAATAATGATTTATTTTAATTTTATTTATGCATTCATTTATTTTAATTTGACCAGAAAGAGACACACACACATAAACAGAGAAAGAGGGAAAGTGGGAAAGCAAGCCACCAGGTCTGGGATTCGAACTGTGGTCAGCTATGTGGGAGTGTCCCGCATCTTAACCACCATGCCAACTGCTGGCCCCTCTTCCTATAGCTTTAAAGGCTGCAAAGTATGCCGTGGTATGGGTGAACCATCATGCATGTATTGATAACGATTTGTTTCCAAGGTTTTGCTGTTATATGTAGTACTACAGTTTCATCCTACACATGTATGTGAGGACTTTAAAACTTTTGTGGAAAAATGGAATTAAAGTATGAGTTTATTTTGCTATAAAAATTTTGGAAATCCTTGCAGTTTTTTATAATAGGCACTTTCCAGAGTGGAATTCCTAGAGGTGAAACAAATGGCTCAAAGGAAGTATATTTAAAATGTACTGAGTCTTGTGGACCAGCCTGTGGCATGGTGGTTAAGGTGCTGGGTCCCACATGGCTGACTGTGGTTCGAGTCCCAGACCTGGCGGCTTGAAAATCATGCTGGGTGCATGTGCATGTGTGCTCAAAACCTGTGGGCAGAGTGGAGGAGAAGGGACTGCAGCTGGCCATCCCTTCACGGGGGTGATTCCTCACTTTCCTTCTCTCTGTTTCTCTCTCTAGCGAGTGCACACACCCTATGGCAAAAACCTTAAAAAAGGAAAAAGTTGCGCTGGGTCCTGCTCAGTTACCTCCCAGCAATTCTTACCATGCTACACTAATGCCAACCACGTGAGAGCTTGTTTTCCCATGCCCTTGCCAAGATCGGATATTATCGGTCTTAAATTTTTGCCAACCCAATGAGAAAGAAAAAAGATATTAGAATTTTATTCTGTTAGATTACATTTTCCTGATTTCAGTAAAGTTAGTAAAGTCAAACGTCTTTTTATTTGTTTATTATCTATCTGTATTTCTTCTTCAGTGACTTCTGTGTGTACCTTTATATTACCAATTCTCAAGGGTGTGGGTAGAAGTATTTAAAATTTATGAGGGTGTGAGTAGTTTAAGAAAAGCCTAATAAATGCTGTAATTTAAGTTTTATTACTGGAAAACAAAGGAAATGTGTTTATGATTTAAAATACAGAAGGGAGAGCGCAACAAAGTCTTGGCTGCTAGAACATGAGTTCAAAAAGCTTGAGAAGGCCTCGCAGGTGACATGGTGGGGAAGGCGCTGGACTCCCATGTAGCCGACTGCGTTTCAAGTCTCGCATCTGGTGGCTTGCTTTCTCTCTTTTTCTCTCCTTCTGTGTCTCTCTAGTGAGGGAACATGCCCTATAGCAAATTTTAAAAATAATAATGGAAATAAATGAAATACTTAAACTTTTTTTTTTTTTTGAGAAATGCTGCTTCAAATCAAATCCCTAGGGGCCATCAAGTGGCATAGTGGTTACGCCAAACTCCTACATGGCCAACTGCAGTTCAAGTCCTAGACCTGGTAGACTAAAAATGTATGCTGGGTGCATGTGTGGGTGCGCCCAAAATCCTAGGAGGAGAATGGAGGGGAAGGGATGCAGGGACTGCAGCGTGGCCATCCCTCTGGGGGGTGATTTCTTACTTTCCCTCTCACTGTCTTTGTTTTTTGGAGAGGTTTTTGCTATAGGGCGCGTGCGCTCGCCAGACAGACAGAGACAGAAAGCAGGAAATCACCCCCCCGGGGGGTTGGCCACGCCGCAATCCCTTCTCCTCCATTCTCCTCTTGGGCGGGATCTTGGGCACGCACGCACATGCGCCTGGCGTGAGTTTAAGCCACCGGGTCCGGGACTCGAACCACGGTCGACTACGTGGGAGTCCAGTGACATAGCCGTTATGCTAATTGCTGGTCCTCACTTTCCCTCTCGCTGTCTTTCTTTGTCTCTCTCTGGTGAGCACAAGCATTCTATGGCAAACACCTGAAAAACATCAACCCCCTAGAATTCTCTCGCTGTCGGCCTATCAGTGGCCACAAGTGAAGCAGAAATGCAGGCATCGAACACCTTTCTGCCCTGGGCCTGTGGCCCAGCTGCCAACCGTCTTTCTCTCCCAGGTCGTCTTTCTGCTAATCGGGAAGCAGTTGACTTCACTATTGTAAATTTAGTCTCTGGGGGAATCTTTATGAGTCTACTGTGGTTCTTTTTTTCTTTGTTGTTCTTTTCTTTTTTATTTGCCACAAGGCACATCTGCTTCCCAGAGATAGCCAGAGACAGGGGTGGCGTTGGGGGTGGGGAAAGAAGAAAACACCCCTCCCCCCATAGGGGACAGTCACACTGCAGTTCCTTCTCTATTTCTCCTTTTGGGATTTCGGGCACACACGCATACATGCCTGGTGTGGGTCCAGGAGTCGAGCCACGCAGCTGGCCGTGTGGGGTCCAGCCTTAATCACTACGCCACCGGCCGACCTAGGTCTGTTGTTGAGTTCTTCCTCTGTACTTTCTGTTAGTTTATTTCTTTGTTTTTCTATGTAAAAGTGTGTCATGACTTTCCCAATGAGCCAATATATTGCTGTCAATGGCTGTTTCCCAATGCCGTGAATGCCCTCTATACTGAAAGAGCAGTCACCATGGCCCTCAGTCATGCTGTTTCCCTTCCCAGGTGAAGGTCATAAATGAAGAGCTTTACCGGAAGATTCTAGAAGAAATCGTTCGTTCCCTGGATAAGATGGAAAATGCTAACATTCCTTCAGTGTCCCTTTCCAAGCGAGAGGTAAGGTCATGTTGAGAATATCAGCACTGGCTCTCACATTCCTAGAGCTCAGAGCTCCGCAGGCGCCTGGCCCGGTACTGGGCTCTCGTCTTTCTCGGTAGGCTGCCTCTCGGTCAAGTGAGGCTGCTGGTGCTGACTGAGAAGAGAGAGGTCGTTGGCCCTGTTGTATTCGTGTCCTGATTTTCCCCAGAGGATGATCCGAAATGAGTTCGATTTGATTTTAGAGTAACCAGCGTGTTTTCTCGCAGTGGATTTGCCCTCTTATTGGTGTTTTGCTTTGAGATTAAATCGAGCCTGAATAGCTGGGATATGCCCGAGTTGATGCGAGGGAAGACCGTATAGAAAAGCAGTGGACAGAAGTCGAAATCCAATTAGGGCTATAGGTTTTTGGTCATTTTTTTGTTGCTGTTGTTTTTGGGCTTTTTTGGTATAGGGCAGGTACACTAGCCAGAGAGAGAGAGAGAGAGAAGGAAAGTTAGAAATCATTTCCGAAGTGATTTCTTTGGGAAGATGGCCATGCTGCAATCCCTTCTTCATTCTCCCCGAGATTTTGGGGACACACACACACACACACACACACACACACACACACATACATGCCCTGGCATGTTTTTCAAGCTGCTGGGTTTAAGACTCAAACTACAGAGTCATCCGTTTGGGGTTCAGTGCCCCAACCACCACACCACCTGCTGGCCTTGGTCTAAGGGATTTTTATGGAAGAGCTGCAGTGTAAATCATTCAAAGTTAACAATATCATACAATCAATCAAATGACGGTTTGGGATGAAGACTCTTTTTTATTAATTTGCTATAGGGTGCGTGTGCTCTTGAGGGAGACCAGGGCAGGAAGTGAAAAATCTGCCCTCCCTCCGGGGATTTCATGCCCCAGTCCTTTTTCCTCTATTCTCCTCTTGGAATTTGGAGCATGCGTGTACATGTGGCCTAATGCTTTTTTCAAGCCACCATATTCAGGACTTGAAGCACTCAGTTGGTCATGTGGGACCCAGCTGCCTTAAACACCTTGCCACTAACTGGCCCTAAAGGCATTTTGTTTTTTCAATTTTTTATTTTTCTTTTGCCCAGAGAGTGTATGTGCTTGCAGGGGAGGGTGATAAGAAAACACTCTTCGATGGAGAGTGGTCATACAGCAGTCCCTTCTCCTACATTCTCCCTTGGGGATTTTGGGTATACACATGTGCCCAGTGCATTTTACAAGGCTCCGGGCCCAGGACTTGATCCACACAGGTGGCCATGTAGGATCCAACTACCTTCACCACCAGACAATGGGCAGACCCAGAGAAGTCATTTTAATTTTTATTTTTTTAAAGAATTATTTATTTAAATTTATTTATTATTATTATTGTTATTTTAATTCACCAGAGAGAATGAGAAAGAGAGAAGGAAAGTGAGAGAGTGAGGTGCCAGGTCTGGGATTTGAACTGGGATTGGCCATGTGGGAAGCCAGCACCTGCACTCCCACGCTACCTACTGGCCCTCTGCAGTCATTTCTAAAGCCCTGCCTGTCCAGTTACCTGCAAGGATATGGACAAGCTTGATCTTCCTGTTTTGGGATGGAATTTGTGAAGGGCGCTTCGGAAATGGTTTTTAGGTGTCAGAGATACAAACTCTGACTCTGTCAGGAAGTTTAGATATTAAGCCAACTTGAGTGTTTTGATTGAACACCAGATCACTAGTTTTTCATGATAGCTGATGCCTCCCAGTGCATACTTAAAGCAGACCCTGTCAGAGAGATGGTTCTGCATCTCCCTTCCCAGGCCAGGATCGTTCAGTCGGGCTGACCAGGCTGGTGGCTGAGGATAGGACCCTATGGTTCTGACTGTTCCTGGCCTGTCCCCAGTTCTGTTTTCAGAATGTGAAGTACATGCAACTGCAAGTTGAATCCTTTACAATTCATAACGGACAAGTACCTTGCCGGTTCGAATTCATCCGGAAGCCCGACGACGAGTCTTACTGTAAGCAGTGGCTCAGTGCCAACCCCAGCAAAGGCTTCCTCCTGCCAGGTGAGACCTCTTCCCTGGTTCCCAGTGTCTGCTTTGGGCAATGCCCCACACTGCCTTTGCTCATTTTCTCAAAATGAGCTCTTTGCTTCTGCATGTTATGTTCTCTGCCTCCTGAAACTTTAAAAAGTCCTGTAGATAAACATCTCTTAGTAAAAGAAAATACTGAAGAGCGTGAGTTCAGTTTCAAAAGCAGCGGCAGGTGTTCATTTGTTCCACAATTTCACAGGAAAGGAAAACGTGGGATTGCGGGAGAGCAGGCACTGCTGTGGCAGGAGGCATCCCGTTGCCTGGCTCACTGTAGCCCACACCCAGTGATCTGCTGTTGGGAGCACGATGATGAGTCAGTAGTGCAGAAATGGTATCTGGCTCCGGAACGTGCCCTCCACGTCTTTCCCCTGGCTTCTTTGCACTCTGCACAGTGCTGGGTGGCAGAAGAATTAGGGTGTTCTTGGTTCTTGGACAGTTCCCAGGCTGAAAATTGCATATTGTTTCTGCTGGATCAGGTTTTTGCTATAGGGCACATGCGCTTGCCAGAAAGAGAGAGACAGAGAGACAGCAAGTGAGAAACCACCCCCCGGGGAGATGGCCACACACCATAATCCCTTCTCCTTCATTCTCCTCTCGGGTTCTTGGGCTCACACGCACATGTACCCGGAGTGAGTTTAAGCCACCGGGTCCAGGACCCGAACTGCGATCTACTACATGGGAGTCCAGCGACGTAGCCATTACACCAACTGCTGGTCCTGATCTGTGCCTTCTTATGGTTTAATATTTTGAGCTTGAACGATACTATTTAGTACTTGAATTATAGCATTTATTCTATTTACATGTTTTTGCTTGTTCTGATGTTCCCAGTTAGACTATAAACTTGTTCTTGTGTCTTGTGAGTGCTGAGCGCACGGATGCTTATTGCTTGGCTGATATTCTTATTTCCTTTCCTAACCCTTTATGCCTTTTACCTTCTTCCATCCTATTTTCTTTTTTGCTATAGGGCATGTGTGCTCACTGGAAAGAAACAGAGACACACAGAAAGAGAGAGAGAGAGTGAGAGAGAGAGAGAGAGAGATCACCCCAAGGGGGAGTGGCCATGCTTCAGTCCCTCCTCCTTCATTCTCCTCTGGGGATTTTGGGGACGCATGCACCCGTGCCTGACATGGTTTTCAGGCCACAGGGTCTGGGACTCGAACCGTGTATTTGGCTCTGTGGAATCCAGCCGCCTTAACCTCTATACTGCCTGTCGGCCTTTCCCGCCTCTTTTCTTGTCTTCCTTCCTTTTGGCTCCCCCGTAGCCAACTTCATGTTTAAACATTTTTCTGCAGATTCTGACATTGAGATTGAATTGGAGCTCTTTGTAAACAAGACCACAGCTACGAAGCTCAACTCGGGCGAAGACAAAATTGAGGACATTCTGGTTTTGCACTTGGAGAGGGGAAAGGACTACTTCCTGCCTGTGTCCGGGAACTATCTTCCCAGCTGTTTCGGTTCTCCCATTCATACGCTGTGCTACATGAGGGAGCCCATCTTGGACCTTCCACGGGAAACCGTCAGTAAGCTGGTGAGTAACACGCCATGAGGAAGCTCTGGAACCATGTGGCAGCCTGCACCCGTCAGACAAGGTGTTCAATGCCCGCTTTCCTAGAGACGCAAGAGCTCCTCCGCCCCCTCGAGCTCGCTCCGGGCATCAGGGTCTTTTGCTGTGCAATAAACTACCCCCACATTCCAGTAGTTTGAGACAGTGAGTCCTGTTTCTCAGGACCCTGTGGGTTTCCGGTGTGGCTCTTCTGCTGGTCTCACCGGGGCTCATTTGAGCGCCTGTGATCACAAAGCAGCTGTGATGGTTGGCGGGGTCTAGGTGCCTCCCTCACAATCTCGGCATTGGCCATTCTCTGGGCCACTCTCCACACGGCTGACGTCACTCAGCGGCTAGCTCAGGCTTAGAGAAATGGTGGCGAGAGCATGGGAGCAGACGCCGTGAGGCCCTTTCGCCTGGGCGCCAGACCTCAGCCGGTATCACCTCCGCCATATTTTACTGGTCAGGGGAAGCCGTGAAGCCAGCCTACATTTCAGGGGCAAGAAGGCCTCACGTGTTGCTGTGAAAAGCTGTGAAGTAATCTTTCACACAAAATGCACGCCTGCGTCTGTAGGACTATTACAACAGAACGCCAAGGACTCGGGCAGGGGCACGTGGAGCAGGAATTTCTCTCATATTCTGGAGGCCTAGAACTCCAGACAGTGGCACCTGCAGACCTGGTATCTGGGGAAGACTATTTCCTGGCTCCCAGAGGGCCATCTTCTCACTGTGCCCTGATGGCAGAAGGGTCGAGGGAGCTCTCTGCGCGCTCCTACAAGGCAGCTAATCTCATTCCCAAACCACCCAGCCACCCAAACAGCTCCCAAATACCATGGCACTGGGGACCATGTTTCAGTCCATGGATTTTGGAGGAACATCAGTGTTCAGTCTATTAGAGAAACTCTGAAGACAATGAAGTTCTCCTGGACTGTGATAGTAAGCATTTATTTATTTATTTTTGAAATAATTGTTTTATTTAACTTTATTTATTTTATTTTATTTATTTTTAAATTTGACCAGAGAGGACAGTGTGTGTGTGTGTGTGTGTGTGTGTGTGTGTGTGTGAGAGAGAGAGAGAGAGAGAGAGAGAGAGAGAGAGAGGGAAGGAGGGAGAGTGTGTGATAGAGAGGGGGAAAGTGAGAAAGCAGACCACCAGGTCCAGGACTCAAACCGTGGTCCACCATGTGGGAGTCCAGCACCTTAACCACCACGCCCCCTGCTGGCACCCAGCATTTATTTCTTAAAATCATCAGTTGATAGGTTATCATTCTTGAGCCTGCCCTGTGACCTGGTGGTTAGGGCAGCTGATCCCACATGGCCGATTGTGTAGCTCAAGTCCCCAGACTCTGTGGCTTGAAAGCCATCTTGTGCTCGTACGTGTATGTGCCCCAAATCCCAATAGAATGGGGAAATGGGGACCAGAAGTTGGTGTAATGGCTGTGTCGCTGGACTCCCATGTAGTCAACTGCGGTTCTAGTCCCAGACCCGATGACTTAAACTCATGCTGGGCGTGTATGTGTGCGTGCCCAAGATCCCGAGAGGAGAATGGAGAAGGGACTGTGGTGTGGCCATCTGTTTTCTCACTTTCTGTCTCTCGGTCTTTCTGGTAAGCGCATGCGCCGTATAGCAAAAACCTCTCCAAAAAAAAAAGAATGGGGAAATGGAGGAGAAGGCTTGTGGTATGACCATTCCCCATTGAAGGGTGCTTTCCCCTCTCTCTCTTCCTCTGTCTCTCTCTGATGAGCACACATGCCCTTCAGTACCAAAAGGAAATTTCTCTTTCTAAACTATTAGGACTTGGGGAAAGTGATGAGTATTTTCCCAACAACCAGTACATTTGCTGAAATCTACATAGCGTCTACGGAGACCATTTTAATACAGAATAACAAACAAATCTGGAGCAGATTCATGGTAATATGTATGTTTCTCCCCCCCCAATGCATTTTTTAAACATAGGAATTTTTGAATTACGTCCTTTCTATTATATGTATGAAAACAGAGGCCCAGTTAAGAAGAGCGATCTGTCATAGGTCACGTGGTGAGTTAAGAGTGGACCTGGACCTTGAACTCAGATTTTTTGACTCCCAAGTTTGTGTTCTTTCCTTACCAGACCCCACCACATCTCTGATTCTAACAGGAAATGGTTTACGCATGATTTTTTCCTAAGAAGGTGCTTATTTCACCTGATCGGTTGAAACTGCTTGCTATAACTCTCCCAACCCTCAAGAATCACCTTTGGTCCCTCAATTGTAACGCCTGGTTTCATTTTCGCCTGTGGAATGTTTGTTTGGCGGAATGGAGAGGCTTCTTTTCTGTGGGTTTGCCAGCTCTGTGCCATGCGTTCTCCTGAAGCCAGAGGGCCCACGGGTGGGCTATCTTGCCCTAAGTTTTCTTTCTTTTCAGACTCTGATGCCAGTCTGGACTGAAGGTGACAGCAGCCAGCTGGAGAGCCCCCTGGAAATCCCCAAAGAGCTCTGGATGATGGTTGACCATCTCTACCGAAATGCTGTCCAGCAGGTGAGTTGTGGACACGCGGCCAGACCTGACTGAGGCCGGGCTGCTGGGGAACGTTTTGGATAGAAGCTTTTACCCTGAGGAACGTGTGGGGAACCGTTCTCCCTGCAGGGAGTGAGAGGATAGGCAGTGTGCCATTTCCCAGCCCCGGGAGACCTGCTCACCCCGTACCTGTTGACCCCAAGGGAGGCAGCCTTGCTCAGACCTGCCTTCCCAGCACAGCGGTTCCCTCCCTGGCCTCTGGGCCCCCCACCAGAGAGCCATCTGCATTTCTCCTGGGATACCACCCTACTTTCTTGTAGGCACTCTTGCCTGCTTCTGGGAATGGGAGAGGCTAACTTGTTGATGAGCCAGGTGAGGTAGGGAACCAGATGAACACCTCAGACCTGAATCTGGAGGCCTGATTTCTAGAATGACTGGGGCGAGCTCCATGGGTTAGAAGTTTATGCAGGCTCCAGGGCGACCTGTACAAACAATAATCCCACGTCTTTATTACTTCAGAGCAACATATGTGCTTTTGGTATCCTATTTCCACATTTCCCCTGTCGAATTTATTCAGTGTTACAACATGCCTGGTAGTTTGAGTCTCAGACCCGGCAGTTTGAAACCCACACTGGGCACGTGTGCATGTGTGCCCAAAATCCCAAGTGGAGGATGGAGAAGGAATTGCAGCATGGTCATCCTCACTGGCGATGGCCTCACTTTCTCTGCCTCTGTCTCCAGTGAGTACACCTGCCCTATGGCAACACTGTCTCTAAAATAAATACGTAGCCTTAAAAAGTCATTTCATAAGTATTATGCTAATCTATCTTCTCTCTAGAGCTCCTTTCAAATGTAACTTTTGAGTAATACATATGATATTGTGTGTTGCTTATTTTTTTAGTTTTTATGCTATTAGGGAATGTGTACTTGCTGGAGAGAGACAGAGATAGACAGAGGGAAAGTGAGAAATCACCCCCTGGGGTGATGGCCATACAAGAATTCCTTCTCCTCTATTCTGCTTTCGGGGTTTTGGGAACACATGAGCCCCTGGCATGATGATACTCAAGCTGCCCGGTCTGGGACTCAGACCGTAGTCACCATGTAGGAATCCAGCGTCTTACTACCATGCCGCCTCCTGGCCCTGATAGTGCGTTGTTGTTTTTGTTTTTTAATAGAGATTTTTGCTAAAGAGCGCATGTGCTCGCCAGAAAGACAGACAGAAAGCACGAAATCACCCCCCAGAGGGGATGGCCACACTGCAGTTCCTTCTCCTCTATTTTCCTCTCGGGATCTTGGGCACGCATGCACATGTACCCAGCATGAATTTAAGTCACCAGGTCTGGGACTCAAACTGCAGTCAACTACCTGGGAGTCCAGTGACATACCCATTATGCCAACTGCTGGCCCCGATAGTGTATAGTTTTTAAAGTTTATTTATTGAGAGAGAGAGAGACTCCCAAAAGTCTAGCCACATGGTGATCATCCTCCCAAATCTTCAGCCAACCAAGATCACAGGCATGCCCGTAGTCACATCCATCCTGTTCAGGTTGACCTAGGAACCAAACCCAGGACCTTTTGCCATGACTCTGGTATGGCACTGCCATGCCCTGCCACCTGCGGCAGTCCAGCTGCTCTCCTGTTCCTATTATTAACACAGGTATATGGTATCTTTTTTTGTTTTTCTCCCTAAGAGCAAAAGCAAGTTTATTCAGTACACGGACGGGGTGGGCTGCTCCATAGGTGGAGCCGCCATGGAGAGGAGAGGGACGAACAGCTCTGCTCCCCGAGAGGAAGGGAGGACTGCTAACCTGGAAGGAAAGATAGAAGGGCTGCCCTATGGGAAGGGCAGCCTTGGGGCAGGTCATTTTATAGAACGAAGGGACAGAAAGCCTCTTGAGACTGATGGAAATACTTTTATCACCATCATCGTGTTTGCACAAAGCACTGAAGAGCCCTCTTTAGCTCTCGGTCTTGTGCATGGTATGTGTTCTTCAGGTTTTTTTTTTTTAATTTTTAAAGAATTGTTTTATTTAACTTTATTATTATTATTATTTTCCAGTTTGATCAGACAGAGAGAGAGAGGGAAAGTGAGAAAGCAAGCCACCAGGTCCAGGACTTGAACTACAGTCAGCTATGTGGGAGTCCAGTGCCTTTAACTCCCACATCACCTGCTGGGCTTCTTCTTTTTCTTCTAAATAATTATTTATTCAATTTTATTTATCATTATTGCTATTTTTAAAATTTGCTACAGAGCACGTGTACTCACCAGAGAAAGAGAGGGAAAGTGAGAAAGCAAGCCACCAGGTCCAGGACGCGAACCACAGTTGGCCATGTTGGAGCTCAGCACCTTAACCACCACACTACCTTCTGGCCCAGTTGTTTTTATTTTCTGGCACATCACTTCTTCTTCTTTTTTTTTTTTTTAATAATTATTTATTTTACTTTTTCATTCATTCATTTATTTTTTTAGTTTTACCAGAGAGACAGAGAGTGAGAGTGAGAGGGAGAGAGGAAGTGAGAAAGCAAGCCACCAGATTCAGGACTCGAACCCTGGTCAGCCATGTGGAAGTGTCCAGCACCTTAACCACCACACCACTTGCTGGTCCCTTTCACATCACTTCTTAGCATCACAGCAACATAGGTACTTTGTCATGTTGGATCTTGTCACGTGGGATATGCCCTGCCCGTGGTTTTTTCATTCATTTTTGTTCTTTTTTTGTTTTGTTTGAGAGGTTTTTGCTATAGGGCGCTTGTGCTTGCCAGAAAGACAGAGACAGAAACCTCTTGTTTTTTTCTTTCTTTTTTTTTTAGAGGTTTTTGCTGTAGGGCGCGTGCGCTCGCCAGACAGAGAGATAGAAAGCGAGAAATCACCCACCAGGGGGGATGGCCATGCCACAATCCCTTCTCCTCCGTTGTCCTCTTGGGATCTTGGGCACGCACGCACACACGCACAGTGTGAGTTTTAAGCCACCGAGTCCGGGACGCGAACCGCGGTCGACTACATGGGAATCCAGCGACATAGCCATTACACTAACTGCTGGTCCCCAGAGACCTCTTGTTTTAAGAGGTTTTTGCCGTAGGATGTGTGCCTTGCTGGAGAGAGACAGTGAGAGGGAAAGTGAGAAGTCGTCCCCTGGGGGGATTGCCACCCACAACCCCTCCTCCTCCATTCTTCTCCCAGGATCTTGGGTGTGCATACCATGCACATGTGCCCACTGATATTTGGCCACCATGTCTAGGACACAACCCATGGTCCACCATGTAGGAGTCCAGCACAACGCAACTGTTGCGCCATCTGCTGGCCCCCCCATGGTTTTACAATAGGCACATAAAGACCTGTGGTGGAACATGCCTAGGAAGGCCTGCAAGTTATATTAGTCACATCACTCTCAATCAGATTGTCTCCTTGGGTGATTCAGAGGCCTCAGTATACTGCTCCTTTCTGTACTCTGCTGGTGATATTGCTAGGTTAGGAAATCATTGCTGATTTTCTGAGAAAATAATTAGTTTGTGATTTTCTTCTCTTTCGCAGGAAGATCTGTTTCAGCAGCCAGGACTGAGGTCAGAGTTTGAACATATCAGGGACTGCTTGGACACTGGAATGATCGATAACCTCTGTATCCTTCAGACATTCAGCTCCTTGTGTGTGTGTGTGAGAGAGAGAGAGAGAGAAAAAGAAAGAAAACTATTGTAAGGCACAAAACCTGATGTTGTGTTCTTAGCTACTGTGTTTTTTTTTTTACTTAAAGTCTACATGGAGAAGACTTTCTGGCTTTAAGCCATGACTTTTAGCTACCAGTATAGCAGGAACTCGGGAGGGCCTGGCCTACCCGACAGACAGCAGGCTGGTGTCCTGGCTCAGAGCAGAGCCGACTGACAAGCAGCACTCTGGCAGGCGTCTGCTCCTGGGCCTTGTCCTAACCACAGGCAGCATCGTGGCCTGTTCCTTAACGTGGGGCTCAAGCTGCTAGCAATCATTCTGTAGCCGAAGCCTTGCTCCTTTTCTTGGAGAGCCTGCCAGAGCCTGTTGTGTGCTACAGCGCCTACCGGAGCTGCCTGGAGTGTTCCGGCAACTACATGGCAAGCAAACAGGTGAGGGGGAGCACTGAGCAGCCACGTACATGTGTTCTGGCCCCAGGCCTCAGAACCCTGAGGAAATAAAGTGGGCACCATCTTGTAAATGCAGTGTCAGTGTTGCAACATCAGATCTTCCCTTTGCAAACCCGTCCTTCCTCTCATGTCTCTTTTTCTTTTGATGGCATCACCCTTAATGCCAGTGACTCAACCCCGAAACCAGAGTCATTCCTGACACCTCCCTCTCTACCCTCCCACATGCGCAGTCCTTTTGATCTCTCTTTTTATTTTTTGGTGATGGGGCACAGGTGTTTGCTGGAGAGAGACAGAGGGAGAGAGGGAAAGTGAGAACCACCCCCCTCCCCGGGGGTAGGGGGATGGCCATGCCACAGTCCCTTCTTATCCATTCTCCTCTTTGGGTTTTGAGGATACACACACATGTGCCTTAGGTGATTTTAAAGCTGCAGGGTCCAAGACTCAAACCATGGAGTAAGCCATGTGAGAGCCAGTGCCTTTATCACCATGCCACCTGCTGGCCCTTTCATCTCTCTCTTTTTTTGAAGTTATTTATTTTTAGGTTTTTGCCATAGGACTTGTGCACTCACCAGAGAGAGAGAATGAGAAGGAAAGTGAGAAATCACTCCCCGAGGGACTTGGCCATACTGCAATTCCTCCTCTTCCAGCTCCTTTTAGGATCTTGGACCTGTACAACATGCACCTGGCATGATTTGTAAGCCACCAGGTCTGGGACTCGAACTGCAGTAGACCATGTGGGAGTCCAGTGCTTTAGCCACCATACCACCTGCTCGCCCCAGCTCTTTGATGTCTTAGCCATCCTCTCTCTTCCACTTCCGTTCTTCTTACCTTGGTTCGGAGCCTACGTTCAGGCTGTGCCTTGGTGGCTTTGTTTGGCACACTGTCATCAGACTCTATTGTAAAGCTCTCCTCAAGTTACTGTTGTTCCGAAACCATACTTGGCTCCCCGTTGCCAGTTAATGATTTTCTTAAACAAATATTCAAGACTGTCTAGCCTAGTGGGTCACACATACGGTAGGCCTTGGCAGAATAATCTAGAAAATTTGCCAATAATACAGATTCTAGAGCCTCACCCCAAATCCAACACATTAGAATATCGTTTGGCATCGGTTCTGTGCAAATGCTCCAGTTCATCCTGATGTGCAGGTAGCTGGGTGCTCATTTAATTCTGGCCTGATTGGCTCTTAAAAACAGTTAGGTCCCTGCCAAAATTGACTTCTCTTTCTCTCTCTTTTAAAAAACAAAATTGCAAGTGGGTGTGTGTGCTTGCCAGAGAGAGACAGAAGGAGAAAACATTCCTCCAGTGGTGAATGGTCATGCCACATGCAATATGCCCACCATGTTTTTCAAGCTGCGGGGGTTGGGACTAGAGCCATGCAGTCCCTGGCCCCCATAACCACCAGGCTACAGGGCTGGCCTCAAATTGATTCCTCACAAGGGGTCCTCTCTACTTAGGTTTTCCTTCTCTTGCCTTATTTTATTTTTTTTTTAAAGCTACTTTCTAATAGCCCTAGTCCTTACTTCTGCAAGTCTAATTTCATCTCACATTCAGGTTTGAAATGTCTTCTGTTCTTTTCAATCTTTTGCGAACACACATGTAAACATGTAATGTCTTAACGCGTGGATGTTTGGCCTGTGCTGCTGTTTTGATACTGGATGCTGAGTAGTAAGGGGTGAAAGGTTTTTTTTTTTTAATTAAATTTTTTTAAAGGTTTTTGCTATAGGGCATGTGTGCTTGCCAGGAAGACAGGGAGAGACAGAGAGACAGAAAGTGAGAAATCACCCCCCGGGGGGAATGGCCACGCTGCAGTCCCTTCTCCTCCATTGTCTTCTCAGGATCCTGGGCACGCATGCCCATGTCCCCGGTGTGAGTTTAAGCCACCAGGCCCGGGACTTGAACCACAGTCGACTACATGGGAGTCCAGCGACATAGCCATTACTCCAACTGCTGGTCCCAGGGATGGAAGTTTTCTGTGCAGTCTTACTCCTGTCCTTGGGTCAAGGTCTCGGTTCCTGGAGCATCATAGGCACTTAGCAATGCTTGGATGGAGAGAATGATACAACCCAGTTCTTCCTCTCGCAGGTCATTTCCACTCTCCCTACATTCTACAAAAATGTCTTCAACTACTTGATGGCCTTTTTGCAAGAATTACTGAAAAATTCAGCAAAAAATCATCTGGATGAGAATATTCTCGGTAAGCAGTCGGGTCTGGGGAAAGCATCCCTGCAAGCTGAGACTCTTAGGAGAGGTGAGGTTGAGGAGATCTGAGTCCACTGCTGTACAGCTAGAATCTCAAGTTCTGGCTAAGTTTATACTCAGTTGTTTTTTTTTAAAGTACATGAAAAGAAATTGTATTCTTTTACTATATAACATTAGTGGCAACACCACATTGAATTTTCTTTTTTTTTTTTTTTTTAACCACATTGAATTTTCTCAAATGAGGCACATTTTTGTGATCCCTCTGAGAACCTCAATATCATCTGTGTTTTGGAGGATTTAGTTTCCTTTTTAAAAAATTATTTTAGGTTTTTGTCATAAGGCACATTCACTTACCTGAGAGAGACAGAGGGAAAATGAAAAAATCCCCCCCCCCCAGGGGATGGTCACACCACACTCCCTCCTCCTCCCTTCTCCTCAGGATTTGGACACACACACACACACACACGTATCCAGTGTGATTTTTGAGCTGCTAGGTCTGGGACTCGAACTGCAGTCGCCCACGTGGGGTCCAGCTGCTTTAATCTGCACGCCACCTGCTGGCCCTCAAATAGTGTTCTTTTTTTTTTTTTTTTTTTTTTTTTTTTTTTGGGGTTTTTTTTTAAGGGGTGTGGCGGTCCCAAAGACAGAGAGAGACAGAGAGACAGAAAGCGAGAAATCACACACACACACACACACACACACACACACACACACACGGGGAGATGGCCATGCCGCAGTCCCTTCTCCATTCTCCTCTTGGGATCTTGGGCACGCACACACACGTACCCGGCGTGAGTTTACGTGGGAGTTCAGTAACCTAGCCATTACGCTAACTGCTGGTCCCTCAAATAGTGTTTTCTTTTAAAGCAGAAAATACTGCTTTTGGGCACTGCTCCCCACTCCTGACAACAAAAGGGTATTTATTTGGCTGAATCATTTATAGTCTGTTTTTTCATACAGCTAGTATATTTGGCAGCTTACTGCTTCGAAACCCAGCTGGTCATCAAAAGCTTGAAATGGCAGAGAAGAAGAAGGCTCAAGAATTTATTCACCAGTTCCTCTGCAATCCACTCTGAGCCTGTCTTCACCCCTATTTCACCTGAGGCAGCCAATTACCAACCCCCCTGTTTCAGAGGAGGAGCTGCCTAAAGTGATATGAGGCCCTTTGGAAGAATGGCAGCCGGCTGCTTCCTGAGTCACGGCTGCCGACCTCCCACCATTAGTTAGCACACCCAGTGTGCTACTGTGAGAGGTGAAGACATGGGGGAAACTCCCTATAATAAAACTGACAGTCAGTGTTCAACTTTAGCTATTTAACACAGGTAGAGCTCTATTTTTTTAATTAAAAAAATATTCAATAAGTGAACCTGTGCTCAGCCTGCCTCCGGAGCATAGTCAGTGCCTTCTGATAGCCTGGGCTATCTCCCCGTGATCAGATATTTGAACAAACTTTGGAGTCCTGAGCTGGACAGCAAGAATGCAGATGGAAGAATGCTGGATAAACAGGCGGCAGCCAGCAGCCACCACATGCTTCTGGTGCTCAGTCTGCAGATGTGTGCCTGTGCACATAGACTCTGGCCCGCTTCTGCTCAGAAGTGGGCTGTCACCGAGGTGGCCACTCCGACTCTGCAAGCAATACAGGGCCTTAACACGGAAAACACTGAAGAAGTCATGTTCTGGTAAAACCAGTGGGATTTTCTGGGCCAGCAAATTCTCCAAACTGTGTGATGTACCCTTTCACTCATATGTAATATATTTTAATGATAAATGTATTTTTAACAGTGGTGGTTGTGTATGTTTGTGTATCATAAGGATGGCAGCTCTTAGCAGCTGAGTTTTTATGGTTTAAGCCCTAGGGCAGCTGGTCAGGGGCCACGGAGACATGATTCTGGTGGGTAGCAGTCAGTATTCATATTTTTCTTTTGTATTTATGATAGAGCACTAGTGCATGCACATAAGCAAGAGAGGGGCACCCGCCACAGGATCGGGTCATGCCATATCCCCTTCCTCCAGTCCTCCAGCCTGTGGGACCTGGGGCACTTGTGTACAGGCCTGGCTTGTTTCATGCACTGTAGGGGCTATGTGGGATCCGGCTTTCCTTGAGCAGTGTGTCACTGCTGCCACGGAACTGGCTCACTGTCCAGTTTTTCAAGCAAGAGATGGTACAGCCATAGACTCAACTCTTCCGTCCCACTGAATATTCTAGAGAAGCAGCTTATGGGAAAAACAGTCAGCAGCTGCTGGGACTATTTGACAGCTAGATCTTTTAGGCATATAGAAAAGACGGGAGCATAATGAAGACACGCATCGAATCGCTTCTTGAGCACAGGCATGCCACTACTTCTTAGTGTAAAATGTGGTAAGGGCCCGCACGATGACAGTGTGAACGGCTGAAGGAAGAGAATGGCCAGTAGGTGGCGCCGACCGGCCCGGGCGTCAGCCGGTGGAACAGAGACTCCAAGGGGAAAAAGTTGGGACAGGCAGCCTGGGCAGGTGCGTGGGGAGAAAGGAAATCTGGCGTCCAAGGAAAGCGTGCGAGAAGGGGAAGGGGCAGCGGCGCCGTCTGTGGCTGGGCTCGGAATAGTCCTAGGTCTGCCCTTTGGGTCCAGTCTTCTTTTGCGGGGACTTCTCTTGCCTGTTAACCTTGACGGGTGGGGAGGGGAGGTGGAGTTGAGGCTGAGGAGGCCGCGGGAGCGCGGGTCCGAGCCCGGATTCTGATGACTGTGGCCCTTGCCCTAGCAGTTGTGGCAGCCATCGCAAACCAACCGAGGATATTTCAGATTAGTGGTGGGGCTCGTTCCCTTTCCCTAGCGAGGACGAAGCTCCAACTCCGACCACCGCGCACGCCCGGGGCGCTTCCCGGGGCTGCAGGAACTCACCGCCCCACGACGTCCCCGCGGCCCCGCCCCGCCCCGCCCCGCCCCTCGCGCTCGCCGATTGCGGGGGGGGGGAAAACCCTCCTGCTCCCGCCGTTGCCGGGAGCCGCGGAGGTAAAAGGCGAAACTAGCTTCGGCCTGGGCTTGGGACTTCCTGGGGGGCGCGGGGCTTAGGCTCCCTCCTGCAGCATTTTCCAGTAGAGATCTCATTCCGGTCACCATAGGGACCCCACCCCTTCTCCGTTTCCATGGGGATGGGTATCCAGCCCCCCTCCCCTGTTTCCATGGAGACCCGGACCCTGCCCCTCATCGCTCAGCTTGGAGCCCCCCAGCCTGTCTTCGGATTTTTCCACGCAGCCCTGGGCTGGGGATAGCCCAGACAGGTTCCTCTTCCCAGCCTCCTCTCAAGGGGGCTCTGTTCGCGCTCCTCTCTGGCCACCCTCAAACCTCCTGGTCTTGTTTGTTCCGGACAGTTGGTCTGCGTTGCTGCCGATGGTGCCGGGGCAGCCCTTTGGGGCCCCGAGTGCTCTTATCTCTCCTCTCAGATGCGGCGAAATGTGCATCTCTGGGGTTGCGTAAGCCAGAGCAAGGGGTCGGGCCGGTTCCTCCCGGATCCAGTGCCTTGGCCTGTCGCTGGTAACTCACCCTCTGTCTAGCCGCCCCACTATGTGAAGCTCGCTTTCTGACCCAGAGCAGAAGAAAAAGATAAAGTGCAAAGCCAGACTGAAAAATGGAAGTGACGTGCTGAGTATTTAAAATCCTCTCTTCTGTCTGCCCAAGCGCGTTTGTAGAACCTGTGCTGTTGCATGGAAAGGAAGACATCGCTAATCTAGACCACCAAAGCTTCACAATTGCAGTTTTCCCCAAGAGAGTGTTTTCCCAAGAGACAGTATCGTTCCCAGAGAGTATATCTGCCTGTCTTTCATTCATTTAGTTGCAATTTCCTGAACTCCTAGTAAATGTTAGTGTGCAGTGCTCAGAGCTGTAGAAACAAAAATAAGTAAGACTCTAATTTCCTCAGGGCAGAGAGCTCACCTCACTATATGGGTCCAGCTTCCGATGGATACTGTATTGTTTTAGGAGTTGTGTAAATAAACTGACATGAGCCATGCCTGATTAGGGATTAGCCTCTCTACCCGGAAGCTGAGCTGTCTCTACTCTGGAAGGAGGGAAGGAATGACATTTGTTTATCTACTGTTTGTCAGATGTTGTGTTTCACAAAAATTCTTCTCTTTTACTCCTAACAACTTTGAGAGAATAGTAATTATAGGTCCCACTTTTTTGCATTAAGAAAAATGAGGCCCAGGAAAGTTACCCAAGTGGTCATGGCAGAGCTGGAATCTGCAGGTAGAAAACTCTGGTTCCTAAACTTTGTTCCTTCTACCGTAGACTCCACGGGGCTATGGACTGCATCATGGGCTGATCTGGGGAATATTTGAGTGGGATTTGCTTTTCAGAATTAGATCAACTCAGCCTTGAAGCAGCCACTATTCTGTTTGTTCCTCTGCCTCCTTTAGGTATTCAGCCTGTTTTAAACTGGCAGTAAGGCACAGTTAGAAGGTCTTACAGGGGCCGGCAGTGGTTAAGGTGCTGGACTCCCACATGGCTGACTGTGGTTTGAGTCCCAGACCTGATGGCTTGCTTTCTCACTTTATCTCTCTTACTCTCTGGTTAAATAAAATAATAATAATAATAATAAATATAATTAAATCATTCTTTTTTAAAAAACTGCTTTACAAACTGCTACTTTTACTTTAATTTTGAAGAAAAACCAGTGTTTTTCCTTAAAAATGACTTGATGGTTTGAAAGTGAAAATGAAAATGATTCCCAAGGAAGGTGATTTTTTTATTGTCTTTGGCCTGTGCTTTAGCTGAGAGGGAAGATGAGCCGTTCGGTGCTGAGGAGGGCTGTGGGTATTGTGAGCCGGCTCTAACTCTGGCTTGCTTCTGTTGCAGACAGGTCGTTACCTTTTCATTTCTCACAATTGGGCTGAGCACGACTGAACCATGGGGGAACACAGTCCAGACAACAGCATCTACTTTGAGGCAGAGGAAGATGAGCTGGCCCCCGATGATCCGATGCTCAGGTTTGTGGATAAAAACGGACTGGTGCCTTCCTCATCTGGAACTGTCTATGATAGGACCACTGTTCTTATTGAGCAGGACCCTGGCACTTTGGAGGATGAAGATGACGATGGACAGTGTGGAGGACACTTGCCTTTTCTAGGGGCTTAGGCTCCCTCCTGCAGCATTTTCCAGTAGAGATCTCATTCCGGTCACCATAGGGACCCCACCCCTTCTCCGTTTCCATGGGGATGGGTATCCAGCCCCCCTCCCCTGTTTCCATGGAGACCCGGACCCTGCCCCTCATCGCTCAGCTTGGAGCCCCCCAGCCTGTCTTCGGATTTTTCCACGCAGCCCTGGGCTGGGGATAGCCCAGACAGGTTCCTCTTCCCAGCCTCCTCTCAAGGGGGCTCTGTTCGCGCTCCTCTCTGGCCACCCTCAAACCTCCTGGTCTTGTTTGTTCCGGACAGTTGGTCTGCGTTGCTGCCGATGGTGCCGGGGCAGCCCTTTGGGGCCCCGAGTGCTCTTATCTCTCCTCTCAGATGCGGCGAAATGTGCATCTCTGGGGTTGCGTAAGCCAGAGCAAGGGGTCGGGCCGGTTCCTCCCGGATCCAGTGCCTTGGCCTGTCGCTGGTAACTCACCCTCTGTCTAGCCGCCCCACTATGTGAAGCTCGCTTTCTGACCCAGAGCAGAAGAAAAAGATAAAGTGCAAAGCCAGACTGAAAAATGGAAGTGACGTGCTGAGTATTTAAAATCCTCTCTTCTGTCTGCCCAAGCGCGTTTGTAGAACCTGTGCTGTTGCATGGAAAGGAAGACATCGCTAATCTAGACCACCAAAGCTTCACAATTGCAGTTTTCCCCAAGAGAGTGTTTTCCCAAGAGACAGTATCGTTCCCAGAGAGTATATCTGCCTGTCTTTCATTCATTTAGTTGCAATTTCCTGAACTCCTAGTAAATGTTAGTGTGCAGTGCTCAGAGCTGTAGAAACAAAAATAAGTAAGACTCTAATTTCCTCAGGGCAGAGAGCTCACCTCACTATATGGGTCCAGCTTCCGATGGATACTGTATTGTTTTAGGAGTTGTGTAAATAAACTGACATGAGCCATGCCTGATTAGGGATTAGCCTCTCTACCCGGAAGCTGAGCTGTCTCTACTCTGGAAGGAGGGAAGGAATGACATTTGTTTATCTACTGTTTGTCAGATGTTGTGTTTCACAAAAATTCTTCTCTTTTACTCCTAACAACTTTGAGAGAATAGTAATTATAGGTCCCACTTTTTTGCATTAAGAAAAATGAGGCCCAGGAAAGTTACCCAAGTGGTCATGGCAGAGCTGGAATCTGCAGGTAGAAAACTCTGGTTCCTAAACTTTGTTCCTTCTACCGTAGACTCCACGGGGCTATGGACTGCATCATGGGCTGATCTGGGGAATATTTGAGTGGGATTTGCTTTTCAGAATTAGATCAACTCAGCCTTGAAGCAGCCACTATTCTGTTTGTTCCTCTGCCTCCTTTAGGTATTCAGCCTGTTTTAAACTGGCAGTAAGGCACAGTTAGAAGGTCTTACAGGGGCCGGCAGTGGTTAAGGTGCTGGACTCCCACATGGCTGACTGTGGTTTGAGTCCCAGACCTGATGGCTTGCTTTCTCACTTTATCTCTCTTACTCTCTGGTTAAATAAAATAATAATAATAATAATAAATATAATTAAATCATTCTTTTTTAAAAAACTGCTTTACAAACTGCTACTTTTACTTTAATTTTGAAGAAAAACCAGTGTTTTTCCTTAAAAATGACTTGATGGTTTGAAAGTGAAAATGAAAATGATTCCCAAGGAAGGTGATTTTTTTATTGTCTTTGGCCTGTGCTTTAGCTGAGAGGGAAGATGAGCCGTTCGGTGCTGAGGAGGGCTGTGGGTATTGTGAGCCGGCTCTAACTCTGGCTTGCTTCTGTTGCAGACAGGTCGTTACCTTTTCATTTCTCACAATTGGGCTGAGCACGACTGAACCATGGGGGAACACAGTCCAGACAACAGCATCTACTTTGAGGCAGAGGAAGATGAGCTGGCCCCCGATGATCCGATGCTCAGGTTTGTGGATAAAAACGGACTGGTGCCTTCCTCATCTGGAACTGTCTATGATAGGACCACTGTTCTTATTGAGCAGGACCCTGGCACTTTGGAGGATGAAGATGACGATGGACAGTGTGGAGGACACTTGCCTTTTCTAGTAGGGGGTGAAGAGGGCTTTCACCTAATAGATCATGAAGCAATGTCCCAGGGTTACGTGCAACACATTATCTCACCAGATCAGATTCATTTGACAATAAACCCTGGTTCCACGCCCATGCCAAGAAACATCGAAGGTGCAACCCTCACTCTGCAGTCGGAATGTCCGGAGACGAAGCGTAAAGAAGTAAGTCACACAGCAGAGGAGAGCGCAGTCTGGGGTCACGTCCTTACCAACTCTCGTCAGCAGTTTTAGCTGGGGATGTATAAAGGCGTCCCTGGGGTTAAGGCCTACAGTAGTTTTGCTTTAAACAAAACATACGTTCATGTTTTGTTATGACTGCTTTTTGGAACTTTTGGGTTGTATGGCCATATTGGAATTCAAGAATACTGAATTATAATTTCTCAAATTTCCTCCCCAGATCATAAGTAAAATAGAAATTGTACTGAAGTAACTCCATGTTCTGATGGTGGAATAACTAGATTTGGCTCCTCTCTGGGTTGCATGCAAATGCTTTCGAGATGAGTGTGTGTTGGTGTATGCTTTGTTATCTTAGTGGATGTTCGATGAGTAACGTGAACCAACTTTTCTTTCATAAGACATTTAGGCAAGAGATGGTAAATAAGAACAGGTTATCCGAAATGAGTATTGGGCCAGCTCCACGGCACAGCAGTAACGTGCTGCTCGAGAGAAGCTGGGTCTCACACGGCAACCATAATTCAAATCTCTAGCCTGGTCAGCCTGCAACATGTGGGGTACACGCATGAGTGCCTGAGATCTGACCGGGGGAGGCTGGAGGAAGGGGCTTGCGGCATGACCAGACCCTGGGAAGGGTGCTCATTCTCTCTCACATGTGTGTTCATGAGCTCTGTCATAAGTAAAGGAGAAAAAAAAGTTTTTATGTTTATGTTTAGCTAATGTGAGTAAAGTAATACATGCCAGGATGCTTTGAAACTGGAAAGCATCTTATAAGTCGGGTTAGTGGTGATCATTAGCAGAATGAAAGATATGGTTTCAAGGTAGTGATACACATTGTTTACAGACTGTTACAGGTCCATTAAGGAAAAACAAGTCACTGGTAGTTACAGTGCCAGTGTAACTTAAATGTAAGAGAGATGATCAAAAAAGAAATAAGGGTGAATTACTTAGTGAAATACTTTTCTCTTTGTCGTGATAAAGGTCTTGGATGTCCATATGGCTTGTTCAGGGCATATGGCCTTTCCTTTGCTAGCCTTGGAACCTCAGCTAGAAGGATTCTTGGAGAGGACAGTGGTCCTAACTCTCACCCCTGCACCATCTCTGGCGTCAGTTCATCTGGTCTCTGCTTCAGTGCTTCTAGAATGATGGACGCACATACTTCATAGCTCAGCCAGTACATTTTCTGGCCCTCTCTGGCTGTTAGAAAGCTTTTACTTGTATAGAAAACCAAAATCTGCCTTCTTGCAGGTGCTACCCGCTGGCTCTGGTTCTGCACTCCTGAACAGCCTTCCTCCACAAGACAGCCCACCAGATTCTTAAATATCAGAGGTGTATCTTCATCTTCTCCTGTATAGGCTAGATACCTCCATTTGCTTAAATATCCCTCTTCTGACATGTTTCCCTTGTCTCTCATCAGCCTGATCCCTTTGTATGAATTTTCATTTTTCCAAAGCCCTTTTAAATTACCAGAGGGTGCATACCCTTGAGAGAGAGGAAGTGAGAGAACCACCCAGTGGGGTATAATTACGTTTTTGCTATGAGGTACATGTGCTTGCCAGAGAAACAGAGAGAGAGAGAGAGAGAAAAGTGACCCTAACCCTAACCCCCAGGAGGGATAGCCACACTGCAGTCCATCCCCATTTCCCATCAAGACTTCAGGTACCCACACACGTGTACTGCTGTGATTTTCAAGCCACCAGGTCAAACTGTTGAGTCAACTATGTGGTATCCAGCCACCTTAACCTCCACACCACCTGCTGGCTCCAAAGTCCTTTTAAAACCCAGAGTCGAGTATAATTGCAAGTGTGAGTCGACTAGCACCGAATGCTGTGTGGCCTTTGTCTCTTAGTTGGGAGACTGTCCTGTAGTTACTATCTAGTCTATGTTTTGTTAGCAATATCATTTTGGTGTCAGCTCACACTAAGAAACCTCTAAAATAGTGGTTCTTGGGCTTAGCATGTAGCATGGTGGTTAAGGCTCTGGACTCCCACATGGCTGACCATGGTTAAGTCCTGGGCCCAGTGATTTGAAACTCACACTGGGCGTGTGTGCAGGCTCGGCCTGTGTGTATGCATGCCCAAAATCCCAAGAAGAAAATGGAGGAGAAGAGATTGAGGTGTGGCCATTCCCCCCCCAGAGGGTGATTTCTCACTTTCTGTCTCCCTGTCTCTTCGGTGAGCCCATGCACGCTGTAGCAAAAATCTCTCAGGAAAATAAATGAAGAGACCAGCAGATGGCATAGCAGTTATGTCTCTGCACTCCTGGCTGTGATTTGGTGACTTGAAACTCACTCCAGGCCCATGTGTGTGTCTGCCCAAGATCCTGGGAGGAGAATGGAGAAGGGATTGTTGTGTGGCCATCTGCCCTGGGGGATGATTTCTCACTTTCCCTCTCACTGTTTCTGTCTCTCTGGCGAGCACATCCACCTTTAAGGCAAAAAACCTCTAATTTTTTTTTTAACTTAAAATATAAAATAATGGTTCTCAGTGGGAGGCAGTTTTGCTTCCCAGATGATATTTGGCAATGTCTAGAGACATTTTTAATTGTCATGAGGTACTTCTGGAATTTGGTGGGTAGAGGCTAAAGATGTTGTTAAATATTTTACAGTGCACAGAACAGTCCCTTGCAAGGAAGAATTACCTGGCTTAAAATGTTGATAGCAGTGGGACTGAGGGATTGAGAAATTCTGATGCCATATGTGCAGCTGTCAAATCCTGTGCAATTGAATTTGGAGACCTGCACGTAAGCCTTAAGAACATCTCCCTAGTACCTTTTTTGTTTTTTAAGAATTATTTTATTCAACTTTATTTATTTAAATTTGACCAGACAGGGGAGGGGGAGAGAGAGAGATTGGGGGGGGGGGCAGTGAGAAAGCAAGCTGCCAGGTCCGGGACTTGAACCGTAGTCAGCCATGTGGGAGTCCAGTGCCCTTAACCACCTCGCCACCTGCCGCCCCCTGCCCTGCCCTAGTACATTTTATCGTGCTGATTTTGGCTCAGTATTTCAGGTCGCATGGGTCCGTTTTAATTCAGCAAACATAAAGCAAGGTGCTGTTAGACTCTATAGGACTGCAGATCACTGGGATGATTTACAATACAGAAGTCAAAATACATTTACACCAGTAATTGTGACATCAGGCATAGTGTGGAAAATGTGAAGAAAAGGTACAATTATTGCACTGGGAACACAGAGAAACTCAACTTTAGCTTCAGGAGCAGGGGGTTCTGTACAAAGGTGGTGTTTGAGCCAGTCATAAAGAATGTCTACAGGACCAGCTCCTTAGTGAGCTGTAAAGCAGATTTCACAGGGCCAACTGCAATTTGAATCCCAGCCCAGTGGCTTGAAAAATATACTGAGCACGTGTGCATGTGTGCCTAAAATCTTCCTTCATGTTGGGATGAAGGAAGAGGGGTTGGGGTGTGACCATGCCCTGTTGGATGGTTCTCTCTCTCTGTTTCTCTCTCTCTCCCCTTCTCTTGCAAGCACATGCACTCTGGTGAGAAAAAGAGAATGTGAGCAGTTTAGGAAATTTGCAGGGGAAGGTCTTTCTGAGAGACGGGAGTGGCTCGAACAGAGGGGTGGAGTCAGAAACATGCTGTTTTCGGGGGATCACTAGTGGCCCTGTAGAGCCGAGGTCAGTACTTCTTCTGCGAAAGGCTAAGCAGTAGATATTCTAGGGTTTGCAGGCCACGAGGCCTCTGTTGAAGCTATTCTGCTCTTCTATCGTAGCACAGAGCAGCTGTAGGAACCACAAATGAGTGTGACTGCATTCTGGCAAAACTCTATTTACAAAAATAGTGGGCTGGATTTGGCCCACTAGCTCTAGCGTGCCAATGCCTGGACTGGAACTTAGGGAGTTGTAGGATGTAAACTTGGATAAACAGCCAAGTTCGAAACGTGGAAGGCACAGTATAGTGTGTCAAGGGTTTAAGTTCTGGGGACTAGCAGATGGCATAATGGTTACATTGCTGGACTCTCATGTACTCAACCACAGTTTGAGTCCCAGATCTGGCAGCTTAAAGAATGCTGGGGGTGTGTGCCCAAAATCCTGAGGGGAGAATGGAGGAGAAGGGATTGAGGTGTGGTCATTCCCTGGGGGGTGATTTCTCACCTTCTGTCTATCTCTCCAGTAAGTACATGTGCCCTGTAACAAAAATCTCCTTCTCACTAAAAAAAGACAATTCTGGAAATAGTGGGGAGTTATTCAATGTGTGCAGGCCAAGGAGTAATGCCAGCATGGTGTTTCAGAGAGATTGCGCTGGCAGCAGCGAAAGCTTAGTGATAGAGGGACAGAGGGAAGGGGACTGAGACATTGCCCAGTTGGGAAGCAGTTCAGGCTTGGAGTGTCTCTGAATCGAATAAAGACAGGGCTCTCAGACATGGAAAGTATCAGGAGTTTTTGTACAGGTATGCAGGAACTTGGGATGTAGAGTTTGAAGAATGAGCCAGGAGTTGGGCAGGATTCAAAAGCTCTGAGTGTTGATCGAAAAGGTTCATTCATTTTTCCAAAAATGTTGAGTTTCTACTGTATCTTAGCACAACTGGTTGATGGAGCCTCAAGTCTAGGTGAGTAAAAGAGTTAAGAGTCCATTGTGGGGGCCAGCAGGTGGTGTGGTGGTTAAGGTGCTGGACTCCCACATGGCTGACCACAGTTTGAGTCCTGGACCTGGTGGCTTGAAACTCACTCCAGGCACGTGTGTGCGTGCCCAGAATCCCAAGAGGAGAATGATTTCTTAATTTTTCACTCTGTCTCTCTGGCAAGTGCATGCACACTACAGCAAAAATCACTATTTAAAAAAAGAGTCCATTGTGGTCGGGCCTTTAGCAGAGGCTTTATTCAGTCAGTGGGCTGGGCACACACTGAGGAGAAACAGAGGGGTGGAGTCAGAAACAGGCTGACTATGCTCTGCCCTCCTCCAAATGGAGCCCCATTACCGGAAGTCAGGCAGATTGTAAGTGGGGAAGGGTCTGTTGGGAAACTGACACAT